GGGCAGACATAGCTGTGGAATTAGGTAGTATCACTAATGAGTCTATTTGAGAAGCAATTTAACAACCCTTTTCTTTATCTAGTAATATTTATGATAATGTGCCTCATTCTCTATGTATTGAGAGACCACAGCCTAATAAACAGGAAAATGGACTGAGGGTCTTACAGCCAACACTCCAGTACAACTTTACGACAAATCTGAGCAAATCATTTTGACTTCCCATTTCTCCAAACGCTACACCCGAAAACCCCTTTATATCAATATATTGTCCCATATATATATTAGGTGTAATTTAAATTATGTATCATATGTTCTATCATGTTTAAATTGGAGGGGACTTTCTGTAGTGTATAGTGTGTGGTTCTAATGTCGTGAGTACTGGAATAAAACGTTGACTCTGCCAGTTACTAGCTGTGTGATCTCGGGTGAGTCTCAGTCTCTCTCAGCCTCAATTTCTGAGCTGTAAAATTCAGAAATTTTTGTTAAATTTCACAGAATTATTGCATCTAATGCATAGGAAAATGCTTCGTAAGTGCATGAGACTAAGTTAATATTTGTTACCATGTTATCATTATTACATGCCCTGAAGCCCAGAGCTGAGGGCCATCTAAGGAGTGAAACTAATCTCATGAGTGCTGTCTTATTTAGGAAGTCATCTTGAATTACAAGTTATAGATCCCTGCCTTTTAGTGTATTCTATTATACACTCTAGAAAGATTGTATTTTTATTGCAATAGTAAAAAAAGAACGTGTGTCAAAGTATAACGTTAATAACTGCTAGTTGCAAAAACTATTCAAGAAATTGCATTTCTTTTTTTTTAAGTGATCTTCAGATTGTGTCCCAAAGGACTTACTTTTCTGAAATTGGGAGGAGCTCATGGGGACAGTTGTAAAATACATACTCTACCCACCCAAATATAAATATACAACTTACTGACTTCTGAGTGAGAATTAATAAACATATGAAATCAACAATTTATCATAAAATCAAAATACTGTAATTTTTGTGTATAAGTACAAGTAGACTCTAACCATGAAACATAATATATTCTTGTTATGTTTATCAGAAATGTACATGTTGAAAGTCAAACATCAGCTTAAATATAAATTATCTATTCATTTGCTTTGGGAAACTTCCCATAGACTACAATTTTGTGATTCAGTATTTCTCCTCTGATTGTAGTTAAGTGCTAATGATAGGCTTCTGTCGGAAAACAAGTATTAGGTAGGAACCACAGCCCTGGAGAAAATGAGAGAGCATTTCTGTGCAGTAGTGATAGAAATCTGTTTGTTAAAGATGCTCATTTGACAAGTCTGCAGAAGAAATTATTGCTTCAATATTTATATCTCTATTTCTCTGTGTCTAATTTAATGACTCATTTAACATGCTTGTAATTCCTGAGATAATATTAGAAATCTGTTTCATAATTATGCCTCAGTTCTTACATGGTATTTAAATTCTAGGCCATTTTATATTACTGATCTATTGAGGTTATGGCTTTGAAACTTAACTCCTCATTGACTAAAATGATCTAATGCTGAATGTATATTTATCATATTATAATAAATTTTTTTCATTTGTTCAGAGTATAGAATTGCCAGCAAATAATCTCTGTGTAATTGAAACAGAATGGTGATAACAAATACCAACAAATTTTAGAAACAGAGAATTGCCCCTGAAAGCAAGCTCTTGTCTGGAACACACCTTACTAGAGAACTCCATTTCAGAATTCTCTTCAGATGCATGTGTGCTTTGTTGATCTAAGGTACCTAAAGTAGCATTATCTCCTTGACCCAGAAAGCCAACTAAAAGACAGTGTTAGTTATAATTTCATATTTGCCCTTTGGAATAAGGAGTCAAAGCCTCCCCAATTACTCTAAGTACCAGTTTGGCCAGCACTGTTACACCAAAGGGGGAAAAATACAATAATATAGTATTTTCATGTCATTCAATATTGCTGCAAAATATATTAAATATTCTAAATGTGCTATTTACAAGCTACTTTAAAAATTTACAGTTTTCCTCAGTTTATGTTCAAATCATTTTTCAGAAGATTAACTTCACAGAATCCTCCAGGGGCTCCTTTAGAAGTTTAAAAACACTTACTCCAGAAGGGCTGCTTAAAACGGTCCTCAAATTCCAGGCTCCAATAGTAAATGAGTTTACATCAGCCCACATTGAACCTTTTCACACAGCCTACTTTCTTATAGTTACACATATTTCTGCTTCATCAGAAAAAGAAAACAACCTGCATTAATTAAGCTATAATGAATGGCAAGGTACTACAGTACAGAAAGCCACAGAGCAGGCCCTGATTCCTTCGGGAGAAAAGATTCAGAAAGAGATTGCCTTCAATTGGCCAAGGTATCTGTTAACAGTCTCATAAAATAAAGTCTGCAGCTTTTTTGTTTTTCTCAAGATTAGGGTCTTTTCGGTTTACATTTGGTTGGTGCTCAAGCTTCCTCAAATATCATTTGTGTTTTAAATTATGTTATTTCTATTTAGGCAAATATATTCTGGGTGTGGAGATAAGGAGACAAATAGTACCATGGACTCTTTTCCATCTTAAATTACTGTATTTGCTCTTTTCTCCCTTATTCTTTGTTTGCCTCCTTCCCTCCCTTTTTTCTTTCTTTTTTTCTTTGTTTCCTTCCTTCCTTCCTTTATCTATGCATTATAATTTCATTTACTCTAAAATCTGTTCATCTATTCCATGTTACTTCAGTGATGCAGTCAACCTAAAGTTTCCTTTGGAAATCAATTTGAAATCTGCTTTGCAATTTTACAGCATTAGTGTTCCAAAGGGGGGAAAATATAACTTTTTTAGGTGCAACAGAGACAGTTTAAGGACGAAATCACACTGGGCATTGCTGGACAGGGAACCGTGCAAGGACCTTAAGAATATCCTATTTGATCATTTCAAGTAAAAGCCCATTTTTGCCCCTAAGTGTATGGTTTATACAGGGCTTCATAATTGCTCATCTAGTCTCAGGGTCATCTCCGTGAAGATGGAACAGGATGAGATCCAGTTCAGAGTTGGTATTTGGTGGGAAAATTTCACAACACATAAGGGGGTTTACTTTCCAAAACATTGAGACCCTGTGGAAGAGGATACAGTGCAAGGATGGGGAGGTGAAAATTTACTGAAAAGTTAATGCTTTACTTGAGTTATAAATAGTCAAAGGTATGGAAGGATTGGCCATGTTCCTATAAGATGGAAAACATAAAGAAACAGTGTGAAGAAAAGCAGAAAAGCAAAACTTCCGAGATTATGAGGTGGTTTTGAGAAATTCCGTGGTGGTGACGTACAGACATATGCAGATATGAAAATGGTGAGATACGTGACTTAGGGAAAGGTCCTATTTAAGAGTTTATTTTAAAATTGTTTTGTTATTGTTATTATTCATTTTTGTGATGGCTTTAGTAACCCCAGGAGGATTTTAAGCTGGGAGTGGGGAATGAATTTGAACCCTTATCCTTATTCATAAATGATCAAGAAGCATTGAAATGAAAGATTAAATGAATAAATGGCATTTTAATGCTCTTGAAATTATGTGTCTAATTCATACACCTGGAAAATATGGTTATTTGGCTGCTTAATCATCTAAGAGTGATTGAATCAGGGAAAACTGATGGGAACAAAAAGTATGCATCATTTCAGTACGTTTACAGTTTTAGGAAGGATGCAAGGCAATCTCTCTTGATTGAAAATTTGATTTGATTAGTGAAAAAATACATATATGCATAATGTCTTGAGAATTATTTTTGCCATATTGTAGGTTCAAGATTGTTAATTTTTCCAGTTTGCATGTATTTTCAATATAATAATGGAGTAAAACATGCATATAAAATGCAGAGAAAATAATTATAAGTCCTAATGAATTTTCATACAATGAACATACAGAAAGAAGGAGAATATTGCAACTAACCCAGAAGCCCGTTTTTGCCTCCTTCTAATCATTAACCCCCAAGAAAGTGTACCCTCTATCTGGATTTCTGATAGCATAGATCTATCTGCCTGATTTGAAACTTCATTACTTAAAGCACACATAGACTCTTTTGTGACTGATTTCCAGTGTATATGTCTGTGGCGTTCATTCATGCTGTCATGAGTGACAACAGTTCATCTCATTTGTAATGTTAATAGTATTCCACTGTGTGAATATATAGCTTGCTTATCTAGAATAATGTAGATGGATAATTTCATTCTCTCATTTGGGATTAATATTCATATATTGGAGTATGTCCGTTCTCTTCCCATATTAATGAACAAATAAAAGGTCATTTGAACTGCACTGGAAATGGAGAGAATTGTCTTTGGGGATACATATTGTAACAAGCTTATTTCCATCTATGGTGGGTTGTTTTCATAATATTTTCAAGACCAGAATTGCATTAGGAACACAGTATTTTACCAAGTATAAGAATATTGTCCAGATTTCTTCTTAGCACAATATTTAAAATAGTTCTTTTCATGATGAGGATTTTAGAACTTCCCACAGTCTGACGTGTTGATTAGTATGAGGCCGGGCAACATTTATTACTGTTGCCTAACATTATCTCTTGATGCATTTAAATGCATTTTGAAAGAAATATGATGGCAAGCATCATGCTGATCTGGACCTTTGCTCCACGTGTTTTAAATCTGACTCATTTAAGTATAACATCTTTCTTGTATTGATGAAAACTACCCCAGGGTTTTGACACAGTTCTCTGTGCTTTTACAGTAATTAGTATATTGACAGTTATTTAGAAAGATCAATATTTCTTTGAGAGCCTCCCACTGCATCTGTCACTAAATGTATTTAATAATACATGATATAATATTTTGCCTCAAGTATCTTCTTTTACAAATTCTTTCATAAATACATGAGCAAACTAGATAGCTATCAAAGTGAATAATGATTTCATTCCTCAAACAGTCATCACTTATATGCCAATGTTTCATATGCTTGGATTATATGCTCAGAAATACCTTTAGAGATTTAAGGAAGAAATAAATGATGACAGTCTTCCCAAGGGTCCCTTGATTCCCACTCTAATGTATTTTCTGTTGGGGATCTCACTGCTTGATTGATTAAATTATTCATTTGTTATTTTACATTTATTCAGAAAATAATTTGTGATGTCATATTATGTGGTAGTGCTCTTTGTAGACACTAAAGTTACAAAGATCCTCAAAAGGAAGTGTTCATTACTGTAATTAATATTCATTGGAAGTTTAAAATAGTGTTAGGTTATGTATGATGGTTAAACCAGAACACTAAAGACTTATAAATAATCAGAGATTTATTATGGGGATTTAACTTTACTCAGTAGTGGAATCTGGTTAGAAAGGCTACATCAGGCTATGGTTCCAAGGTACCAAGAACAGAATTTGGATGCAAATAGGAGAAGCAAGCACAAACTGGAAACTGCAAAACTGTTCTGGAAAGTATAAGGACACACTGGAAACTTTGATGTAATGTCCCCTCTTTCAGACCTCCCACTTTGTTGCCCACAGTGTTCTGCAGGAGAGGGTGATACATTGCTGACACTTGGCCCAGAAGTCAGATAAGCTTAAGCTGAAGATCTGGTAGGAGTTGGAGGAACTGTGGACCCAGCTGCTTTCCTGTGCCAACAAGCAGAGTGGGCCTAAAGGTTCACAATGGCCTGTGCATTTTCCTTCCCTCTGTAAAAAGGTGGCTGCAGCTACACTCACTCATTCTTCCAAATCTTCAGCAGAATGAATCTTGTAGGCTGTCAGCACATAAGAAGGGGCATCCTGGTCGGTTAGTTCCAGCTTAGCTAGGTTGACACAATGAAATACACTAGACATGTTGTATTATGAGCTGTTATAATGAGGATAAACAAGTCAGCTATGGCCCCTGCTGTCATGGAATTCAGTATTATTGGACACCTTTTTCAAAGAAGGAAACCCTTAACTGTCTTCAAGTAGGCAATAATCTAAGAAGATGGCACTGATCTAAATGGTCTCTCCTATAACTAATGTCTTAAATGACAGACTGGCCATACCTCACTCTCTCCAAGTCTCAGCTCCTTGAATCTTCTGGATAAATTCTAAAGGAATATAATTCATAGACCCTATTTTTCCATCTATTGGATTATGGTTCCTTTATTCTGTTGATTTTCTTATTTGAATTGGCTCCCACTTGTATAATTCACTCAT